CCGATGCCACCCTGATGAAATGACGCTGGCAAAGGATTACAGAAAACAGTCAGCAAAAGTGGACGCTGGAACATGTTCGCCGGTCTACGACATTCGTGTCGGGTCGGACATTTCGATGCGTCATGCCAATCAGCCGAAACACACTGAATGTATTGACGCCAAATTTGATCTACCAAAACCACGAAACAAAGCCACAGTTCCAGAAGCCGCTCTCCTCAACTACAAATACACGAGCAGTTCAAAGCTAGTGGCAAGGCTGTAGCTTTCTCAAGGTGCAAAATTTAAAAAAGACTTTAATATTTATTGGAAATACACAAAATGGTGCCTTCTCTCTAGCTTTACCGCATAAGAGTGCTTAAAAATGTTCCAATGGATGTTGGCTGTTTTTCATACTTCATGTGCATAATTACTAAAAATTACGATACAGTTCTAGTTTGCGAAACCGAAATATACCCTTTCTTCAAGTAAAACATGTTACGAAGATAGTATTGTCGACTGAAAGACAAGAAAAAGTAAATTTTGTAATTTTCTGTAAAATCTGGCCGAAGATCAATAAGAGGAATTAAGGTTGTCTAAATAGGCATTTTTCTCCGAGTTATTTTTGCGGCACCCTTTCGTGACTGCTAATAGTTGCTTCTATGTTATACTATGACAAATATAACAAGCCAACCAAAATATGTCTTTCCAAGTCAAAATATATTTCTGAAATTCGGTTCACATTTCATGAGATGTGCCAACTGCTGTAATTAACCATTTCCGAATGAATGAGAAGGTTCGCGATCCAGGTATTTGCATGGACGAGGAATAAGGCGTCTCGAGCACCAGATCAATTTATTTATTGTTCTGAGCTTTCGAACTCTCTGAAGATGGACTCTTGTAAGAGTTCGAAAGCTCAGAACAATAAATCAATTGATCTTGTTCTCGACACGCCTTCTTCCTCGCCCATTAACCATTTCGTTTCTCTCGCCTGCCCTTGAAAGCAAGACAATTTAAGAAGCAGTTGTATGTGTTTTAATCCAAGGCGCCAAGTTGTGCCAGGCAGAATAATTTCATTTCATGAAATTTTGCCGTGTGAATCTTAATTATAAATTTCTACTTTGCATACAGTAGCAACGGCAACTATTATATGTCGGAGAGGAGAACCTGTTGCCCCTTTAATGGTTTTATTGCCTATATAGGATTGGTCACCTAGTTTCCTCCCCTGTCTAAAGGCGCACGTTTTTGTAGATTCTCCAGGAGACACGCAGGAAGCAGGTGTGCTTTTTTCTCCGGTTCCCGCACACTGGGTATTTCAAATTGGAGCTCTACGCCCTACCTGCAAATGACCGCAGCGATTCTCTGCCCAACGTGTACAACTATTTGATTGAGGCCTCTATGTGCCATCGACTGCGCGGTCAGGTGATGCCTTACCCTCGGCAGTTTTCGAACTGGGACCGCGGTTGCTACCTACTGACGCCGACCGAGGGCATCCTTGGGCTAGACGACAAGGGCAGGTTAAGTAGTAAACCTCCCAACAGTCTGCCCTTCGACGTCACCATACCAAACGCTTTTGCCGTAGCCGTGGTCGTGGGTGACAAATGGACGGATCTGACCCCCGAGGGCGATCACTGGAAGGGTATTGTAGACATGAAAAAACACTGGGGCAGCGATCAAAAGCTGGCTCTCTGTGCTAAATACACTAAGGACGATTCCAAGTACAGCGTCCTACTCCTGTATTCCATAGCTTGGTAAACGCAACAACAATCATTGCTTCCGACCCCTTCATCTTGTGCTGATCTAGTGAAACAGGCGTTATCGCCTACTAAACGACGCTTTTTAGATAACTGCGAGGGATCACTGCACTCTGCCTACTTGTTTCACCCCGACCCCTTTCTCCATATATATAAATAAAGACTGTGTCTATGTGTGTGTGTGTGCCTCTCAGATCTCTGTAATTTACCAAACCCGGAACGACTGTCCGAACCCAGCTGTTCGTCTTCCGACCAATATCCCAGGCGGTGTCATCCCCTCCACGTCTGCACAGGTCCAACTGACTCTTTTTTTCTGGATCACAGCTGCTTTGCTTTATAATTATTTTTATAGGTTGTGAATAGAACTTATAAATTTCGCCTTTTCGCTTATGCTTTGACTGGCTTTTTAAAGTGCATTTTTAACTTTGAGCCATAGAATTCACACTGGGGTCTCAATGTGGCTCTAGTTTAAATCACGATCCAATGCTGGCTTACGTTGTGGGTTCCCTAGGCCACGCAAACACATACACGCTTGATGTGAACCGTCCGTACTCTCCAGCAACACGGCTTCCGTGTCAGGTGATTTTACTTTCGGTGATATTTTAAGCATGTGCACTTGCGCACTTCCACAGTTTGCCGAGACTGTCGTAAATTGCTAAGCTATCTACTGGAATACATCACTGAGGAAGAATTTATTCAGGAAGTCAAGTTAGGCGAAAGAACGTTTTCGTTTAATTCATCATTAGGCAAATACAAGAATATAAAGGAGGGTAGAGTTAACAAAAGTTTGAGCAACCACTCAGTAGTGATAAGGGAGAAAGGATGGAGAGGTGTTATGGCACCAAAGGAGTCAGATTCTATTCTTAATTGGGGACCAGAGAGGGGAAAGGGGGGGATGTGGGTCCGACAATTAGTTCATATCGTCCCGTCGTCTTTGTCCGGCGTTTAATTGGGGAGGCGTGAGTACGCAAGGTGTCACCGTCTCGTGATGGTGTGGGTGGCCTGGGGATGCTCAGCTTATTCACTCACGTGTGCAAACAACGCGCATCCTTCGCACACCGGCCAGCCTCATATGCAACCATCGGTCCCTTGCGTTTATGTCCTCCTGACTGCCCCTTTGACCTGACCAATCATGCACCAAACACACACTCCCACACGCTGACACG